TCTTTTCATTATAGGATGTGGGGGGGGGGGGGGGGGGGGGTCTAAAATGTCCTGGGCTCTGAGGAAGTGGGTTGAATGATGCTTTCCATCAGACTGAAGACATCTAGTGGCAGAAAAAACTACTGCAGGGTAAATCTCTGGATTGAAAGTGAATATTGCAGCATTTTGTTGTTTTATCTTTCAATGAGCTATTCAATTTAATCTCATCATTTTTGACCAAGGTTCTGTGTTACATTATTGCAATGTCCTCCAGCTCTCTTTGGTGCATATTGTTGAAAATACAAATCTTAAACATAAATAAAACTGACACAAAATAAGCATTGTAAAATAACTGTAATCACAAATGTTTTTTTTCCTCTGAGTGAGCTGCAATTTTCTTAAAAGCCTTTGAAGGACAACTGAGGCAAAACCTCTCTGCAAAAAAATAACCGACACAGAAAATAACTTTGTAACCTCAGTGTTCCCGGCTACAATCAGTTCAGAAGAAATGTACTTTTCCCATCAAGTGGCATATTTATTAGGCGTTCACATACCTTCTTGTATTACTGCTGGGCCAGGATAAGAGGCACACGGGCACTGTCACCTGCCAGATCCATTGGCGATGTCCCCTCGCCGGTGCAAGCATTGAACATGGGCAGCGTGGAGAGTGGTCGTGGAAAGTCACGAGAGGCGGCCATCTTCCGAAGCTCTTCCGTGTTGGAGAAGATGGACTGTTGGTGGACCAACTGAAGCCTGTGAAACAAAAGCAGTTGTGTTGCATTATCATTGTACACTTGACCAGTGAAACGTCTTGAAGAAAAATACAGCAAATCCAGTTGCCTTGACTAATTTTTAACAGATATTCTGGGTATGAGGGAACACATGACTCTCTCCTGTCCCTACAACAATGCAATGCTGGGTGCAGAAGTGACCAGTCACCAGGCCTGAAAACTGTTTACAGGGGCAAGGTCCTTAGGCCTGTGCGCTGCAACCAGATTGACTCAGAGGTTATACAGACTGGGCATGCTATTATATGGAACTGTTATGTGAAAAGAAGAGAGAATAATTTTTTTCTGAAAGGACACTGGGTTATGAGGTTAGTTCAAATGTAGAATAATGCAGAATTCGGTGATCCATTCCACGTAGATAATCCTTTTGTAGTACAAAATTACTCCTCTTCAGGGCTGAATTTCCCACAAGGCCCAAGCCTCAGGGCAGCTGGGGTGTGGAATTCTTATCTCCCAACAGCCGGGTAGTTGTTTTCTACATTTAGCCCTGCTTTGGGCAAGCAGGGCTCAATACACAGCGGGGAAGCTGCCGCTTGTTTTGTACAAGTGATCTTGGTGAATCTACCAAGGGCAGAACTCAGAGACAGGAAATATTGATGAAATGAGAACTTGTGTGAGGGGTGACCCGTCAACAGTATTGGGAGTTCTAGCGGCCATAGTCCACCACTGCCAACATTCACTGAAAGCCAAAGTTGCAGTGCAGATGTGCACTGCTGAGAATGTTATATTGATAGGCATAAGCAAAACACTATATCAGCACAACGTGCACATGCAATGCAAAAGCAGAACACATAGGCTTCAGAACTTACTCAGCTGTATTGTCGTCTCTCTTCTCTCTTAAGGCAAAAAAAAAATAGTGTGACCTCTATCAATAAATCAAACATACATGATGATGAATGAGTCAATGTCCTAAATATTCTGTACTTAATTAGAGATGAGGTTCGGATTTGGGCCAACCTTGGTTTTGCTACAAATCTGCCAGATTCAGATTCACATGTGCCTGGCGGTTACGCACGAAGCGGCCAACCAACCCAACCACATGAAGTACAAAAGTCTTTCACGGTTATAAATATGTGGCCAAAGAGCGATGTCACTGAGGCCATCGTTGTTCTGTAACACCACATCCAGCTTTAAGGCAACACCTAAATCTGTCATAAAAAAGGATCTGTGTATTTTCCACGATGCTCTATTCATAATAATACATAAAATGCATTCAATACGAGCAGAGGAAACAGGACCTACACAGGAGTTCTATGCACAAACCCACAGTAACTGATAAGAATTTGCTTTGCTGGATTCAGGAGCGCACAATATCCATGTGATACTTACACCCCCTCTCTACGGCAGCACATGATATAAGAGAGCAGTGCACACAGCAGAAGGGCGATGAGGGTGGGAAGTAGAAAGGTGAGAAGGTAATCAGGGATGTAGTTGGTTTCCTCCAGGGTGTCAGGAGGTGGATTAAAGTCTCCTTCAAAATCCAGGGCTTTATAGATACGAGGAGTGGGAGACGGATCCAATTCATCAACCTGTGAATGTGAAAAAGGAGCGTCATCTTCCCTGTCTGGAGGGGGGGGGGGGGGGGGTTCGCAATTAAAACAAAAACCATACAAGAACAAGGTACTTAATAAAATATAACTTATTAAAGGGGACCAACCAGGATGGAAATATGGAAGCTGCCATTGTAGATTCGGAGGGTACAAGGTCACTGACCCGGAGAGAACATTCAGCCAAAGTCAAGACTCCTGAGCTCTATACTTAATTCAGGTCATTGACTCAACTGGCTTGTGCTGATGCCATATGCACAAGCAAATCCTACTGGCACACTATGTATTGTACTTACCAAGGCCAGAGTTCATGGAACATTTATTGGGACCGCAATCTCTGTGAACACACATGTACACGCTATAAAGAAAACATGCAGAATTAACTGATAAGCGTGATTTGCTAGGAAATGTACGTGATATTGTCATCTCTGAGCCTGACCCTCAGTCCAGGAAGTAGATTGCAATCCTGGATGATGCCTAAGCAAAGATGGTTCAGTCCTTCTTTATGGAAAAGCAGATAAAAAAAGCAGATAAAGGCATTGTTGGGGGGAGGGGGCTACATTGATCTTTTAGAGACACCTGGACATCTTAAACTAAGGGATGTATTTCTAAAAAATATATAGTGGAGCCATTTGTCCTGAAAAAACTGAATGCCCACTTATTCTGTGCGAATGGAGACAAAATCAAATGTTATTAGTTATATTTTCTTTCCAGGTCGAATGTAATATGTGGATAATACCACATTGTGGTGAATGGGGGGCAAAATCAAATGTTATTATATTTTCTTTCCAGGTTGAATGTAATATGAAGAAAATACCTCATTATGGCCATTAGATGAAGCTAAGGAGCACAAGAGAGAAGTGTTTATCTCCTATATGATCCTTGGCTCCATCGAGTGGCCATAATGTGGAATTTACCTGATTCCTCCTAATCTTATGAATGAATTACATTCAACCTGGAAAGTAAATATTCTGATCACATTTGTTTTTTCCTCCTTTCACACAGAACAAATGAGCATGCAGTTTTACAGGATGATGACACCCCTAAAACATTACTTGGCATGCTGCACCTAAGATATATCTGATGACAGGTTGGCCATATATTTGGAAATGTCACCATCACAGGGCCGTTGAAGACATAAATAGGTGTTTTCAACAGGTAACAACAAAGCTGAAATATTCCGGTGCAGAGTTGTAGGACAAGGTCCTTTTGCAGCCTAGGCACACATGCCAAGGTACGCTCCCCCAATCTGTGGATCCTAAACATACAGCACCAGGAAAATACAGGGTGCAGAAATGACATGACAGTTACAATTTTCCCCCTACAGACTCTGACTCGTAACCTTGGGTCCTAAAACCCTAAACTTGGCACTTAACCCTTAAGCGGTAAAATAAAGGAAGGCCACTCGCACTCTAACTTGTTTATTGACCTCTGTAGTGTCACATGATCACAGCGACGTTTCAGAACCACATGGCCAATTCTTCCGGCAAAAAGAGTTTGCCGGAAGAAGGAACCATGTGGTTCCGAAACGTCGCTATGATCATGTTACACTACAGAGGTCAATAAACATTGACCATGGATAATTAATTATAACTGGTTGACGTTAGGCATATTCTGGGCATTTGTTGTGTGTTACAGCTAATTGGGGGCTTTTTATCTGTATTCATATGAATTGTAAATTCTCATGAACTGTTATTTATTTCTTCATTTTATTTAATATATATACAATAAATTGAAATTTTTTTATACACATGTATTGGCTCTATACCTCTCTTAAACCCCTATTTATCGTTTTTTCTTCATATATATATATATACCCAGAGGGGGAGCGTTGCAATTAGCTACTGTCGAGGCAGACTCAAAAAGTTGATGTCAATAAACATTGACTTAAAGACAAGTTGGAGTGCGAGTGGCCTTCCTTTATTTTACATTGATATGCAGAGGCATCTGCTGTCACTCTGGCACCCACCCGATACTTAAGGGTACAATCCGGTCAGGAGTGCGATGGGTCCCATTTAAACATTGAACTAACCCTTAAGATGGCCTCAAATTCTAAACCTTAAAAGTCTATTTTTTTATTTCTAAGTGCATTTATGTGATTGCCTTTATATTAGGTTACCTTAAAGTCTAAATTCTGTGTGACTCAAGGGTGAATTTTTATACAAACCGAACACCCCTACAGACCATGGCAGGAAAATACCTAGTTGTGAATGCTGCTGTCAGCCTGGCTGCAAAAACATATTTGTCCACTAGATGGCTTCACAGCACAGACATTGGATCACATAGTGCCAGCCAGCATAAGCACAATGGAAAAATTGACAGCTACCAAGGTGTAGCACGTGACTTCCCAATGAACTTCTGCTGAATCTTAAAATATAATAAAGGCAATAGGGCTGAATTCAAGGATTAAAGAGAACTTGTGGGATACTGGTGTACTATCATACTAGTCATACTTGAATAGTGCAGAATGCATGCACTTCCCTTTAAATGGACAAATATCTATATGCAAATACTGAATTGGAGCTGGAAACTGACTGCAGCCAATCAGCTCATTGGGTATTCTTACAGCGGCAGGGTGGAGACCCTAAGACAAGACTATCCACATGATAACCATACAGTATATAGAATGTCCCACAATGCAAAAAAGTGGGCTTCTCTACTGTCATTTCACCCAACTGTCCCCACTTTAGAACCAAATCTCTCTGTCCCTCTTTCTTCCGTGTATGGTGTAACACTTTCAGGTATTTATTACCTCTCACAGAGATCTCTGTACTCCCCCTGACAGTGCCTCCATCTGCTTTTCTCTTCAGAAGGACATCTTTCTGCTGGCTTCCCCCAGAATCACCATCTACTTTGTGGAATAAGATGCTGGCCCAGAGTTGACACAATCATTGAAATCCTGGTGCCTGTATAGATCAGCCCTTGCTGCAACCTCTCATGTTGTGACTGGCTACAAAGTTAGACTGTACAGTCTAAGTCAGGCCTCAAAATTTCCACTCGCCCCCTCGCAATTTGCGAGTGAAAATTGCGGGGGGGGCGAGTGGAATGTCAGCGAGGGGGTGCGCCGCCGGCGGGGCCAGGGATGGGACACTACCGCCGCGGCGATCGCTCGCTTCTGTTCTCTTTCTCGGCTGCTGCAGCTACGGAGCGGCCGAGAAGGAGAAGAGAGAACAGAAGCGAACGATCACCGCGACGGTAGTGTCCCATCCTGAACTAGCTCTCTGCGATCCCTCTCTCTCCTCCCGGCAGCTTCAGCTCCGCGAAACGGGCACTCAGAGAGGCGGCTCTGATCACACCGGTTATCGCTCCCTCTCTGTCCTTCCAGCCGCTCTGAAGCTGCAGCGGTCGGGAGGAGAGAGAGGGAGCGCTGACAGGTGCGATCAGAGCCACCTCTCTGAGTGCCCGCTTCGTGGAGCTGAAGCTGCAGCAGTCGGGAGGAGAGAGAGGGATCGCTCAGCGGTGTGATCAGAGCATTATTAAAGAGCCCCCCCCCCTCCCAGTCCACATCTTTTGGACGTTATTAATCTGAGTTGCCCCACTCAGTATGCTTGTCGCTTGTGGCCATATTGAGTGGGGCACTCAAATTAATAACGTGCTGGATTAGTCTGACCCAGGGGGGACTAGGCCCAGGGGCAGGGTGGCAAATGCCCCCCGGGCCTCTCTGATACCTTTGCTAACGCCCCCCGCCGCCGCAAGCACTTCATCTCTCGGCCGCTGCAACAGCAGAGAGACCAAGAGGGGAGAGATTAAATGCTTATGGCGGCAGTGGGGGGCGTTTGCAAAGGTATCGGAGAGGCTTGGGGGGCAATTGCCACCCTGCCTCCGGGCCCACTCCGCCCCTGGATCAGACTAATCCAGCACATTATTAATCTTAATGCCCCACTCAATATGACCGCAAGCAACGGGCAAACTGAGTGGGGCAACTCAGATTAATAGGTCCGAAAGCTGTGGACTGGAAGGGGGGCCTCTTTAAGACTGCTCTGACTTTAAGACTGCGGTGGCGGGGAGAAGAGATCGGGAAGCTGGACTGCCATCGTCTGTGCCCGCTTCGATTGGGCTCCTTAGCGGCCACAGCAGTTTCCTCCGCCAACCTCAGCTGCCATTGGTGGGAGGGGAAGACTGCCGAACTGCAGTTGGCCGGCTTCTGCTGCGCGGGAGAGAGGGCACTTGGAGCCGGCTGGATGTGTAGGAAACCTCGTTGCTCCCCCACCATCACCAGAAGAAGAAGAGGTCAAAGCAACTGTAAGTCCCTGTACTTTCTTTGTGACCTCTGCATTACATACTGACCGCTGACCTCTGTACTGTGTACTGACCTCTGTACTGTGTGTCACACCCTGACCTCTGTACTGTGCGTCACACCCTGACTTCTGTACTGTGCTCACACCCTGACCTCTGTACTGTGCGTCACACCCTGACCTCTGCACTGTGCTCACATTGCTGATCTCTGCACTGCGCGTCACATTGGTGTACTGTGCGTCACACAGCTGGCCTCTGTATTCTGCATTGCACCACTGACTTCTGTACTGTGCATTTTTACTGATCTTTGTACTCTGTGTCACACCGCTGACCTGGCGGAGATAAGGCCGGGGCAGGGGTTAGGTGGGGCAACTGGTGGCAAGTAACTTTTAAGGTCTGGCTAGTAGCTTAGGACTTGAAATTTTGACCCCTGGTCTAAGTGATCGTCAGGAGAGAGAGGAGACTGAGGGATGCTGCTGAGGAGATGTTGGATGTTTTTCTGAAAATATCTCCACCCATGAAAAATGATTTTGGCTCTCTTATGCTATTAAAGTAGAAGGAAAGCCTATGTGCTAATAAAGCCTACGAATGCAGCCCACCCCCCCGCACCCTGATACAGTTTCTAATAAATGTCAGCTTAAGAACTTCAGGACAAAAGCACAAATTTACCCTTGCGGTGGGGCTACCCCCCTGCTGCAAGGGTTAAGTGCTCATTCTGTCTAGGGGGCTCAAATAAAGCAAATTTACTCACCTGATGCTTGCTCCCAAATGGGCTGCCAAACCGGACCCTGCAGCCTCTTCTCCCCCAGGCGCTGGAAGTCTAAGGACGGCGGCGTCATCATGTCTGATACCGGTCCACTGACCTGCATTAGACGCGAGGACGCCGAGGGATAATTCACAGCCAGAGCAGAGTGGGAGAGAGGTGAGTGCTGACTGCTGCAAGACTGAGGATCAGGGAGTAAATCTGCTTTATTTAAACACAGCTACCTTCTCATGTATCACTTGCCCCTCCCTTTCAGATTGTAAGCCCTCAGGGGCAGGGCCCTCCTTACCATCTTGTTTTGAATTGTATTGTGATTGTAATGTCTTCCTTATATTGTAAATGCTGTGTAAATAGTGCATATTTTTTCCTTCTGTCTAATGTTCGCTTGGACCATAAAAACTGACCTTGGTGGCCCTTTATCATTGTAACAATCTCACATATTTACAGAGCCTGTTTATTACACTTTGCTGTTATTATGTAAATGTGTACACGCTTGTTTAAAAATATCGCACACAGTCTGACACTGTGTTTCAACAAGTGGATAGATTAGGAAGCGGAGATGGCAGAACAATGATGAGAGTTGGAGGAACACTTTGTTGTGCTGGCTGTAGCACGTCGCAGATGGAGTGCGGGAAAAACTGTATCATACTTCCCAGCTCTCCTTTCACTTCCTGTCCAATAGCCAAAACAGGAAGTGGGAGGAAATTCCTCCAAAGAGAGAGAAGTCCCTAGTGGTCAGCAGGGTCACTAGAACTGGTGTCCCCATTGGAAGATTTTCCATCTATACTGGTTATGATGGCAACCCAAAATTTGGGATTTTCTGTCATTTTTAGTGATAATGGTCACCAGGGTGAATCTCCCTAATGGGGGCACAGATAGCAAATAAAACCTGCCAAACCAGCTGCTGGTAAGCCTAATATTCCCATCATAACTCAATACTGTTAGAATACACATTACTGTGTTTATAGCAATAACTCCTGCAGTATACAATTTCGGTCACTAGATGGCAGTGTTTATAAGTTCTGTTATCTATGGTATATAGTCAGTTGTATTGAAAAAGGTAGAGAATAAAGCTGCGGCTTCCTTTCTGTTCCTGAGTCAGGTTGTATCTGAACTATTTTAATTGGCATGGTGCTTTAATTCCTACTTTTACTGAACAATAACATTCTGACTGAGGTTCTGACCCAACCTTTCTTGACCTAATTAACACTTAAAATAACTTTTCAGACAGGGAACCTCTGATCAGTATTCTAGTCACTCTCCGCTCAGTTGTACTTGGAGCAATAAAGATGCACTCTTCTATACATGCTCTGCCCCTTTTGTCACCAAGACCATGGTCAAAACCATTCTGTGCTAATAGAGACTGGATGTAGCCTGCAGAGGTGGAAAGAATAGTTGCTTGTTTTTATCTTGAGCTATGGAGAGGCTCAAAATTCCTCTAAGCAGCCCCTACACTCTTTCTCTACTCTGATTTTAATATTGCCCAAGGGCCTCTTTGGTTATACATGGTGCTGTGTAACCCGACAGGGCTGTGCTACTGCCACCTGGTGGTCAAAGGTCAAAGTACAGTTTCTTATTATTGCTAACAATAGTGTGCCCGATCTATATTATTATTAGTAGTATTGTTAAAGTATAACTATGGCCTCCTCGTGTACTCTCACCGTCTTCCCTTAGTCCCCCAAATACCTGTTGATTCTGCAGGTGAAGTCCACCTACCGCAGCTTCTTGTGATGCGGGGACAACACTGCTGCACTGCTACTGAATTCAGAGCAACATTGTCCCCTCTCTAGGCTGTGCCTGCTTGCACTACAATGGGATAAAAAAAATCTTCCAGGGGACGCTGTTATCAGCATTGTCATTGCTGATTCACAACCTGTAGCTTGTCAATCAGCACCTGGCCACACCTAGTCCTGCCCAATGCATTCTGGATTGGTAGAACTGACTGTGCTGCTAAAACCCTCCCACTGTGATCTGCAGTTGCTGGGAGGGGGAGCGTGTGAGGCAGAAATTAAGAAAGATTTGGTGGACTTAAAGGTGGTAAAAGAGGTTTTTTAATCTATGCATTACATAGTAGCTAGATTTCAGACCTGTTTAGACTGCCACGCAGGAGCCTTTAGATGTAGTTTATTTATAGAAATAATAACCATCATATGTTTGCTACCACCACCGGGTGGTCATAAGTGATACCACATATATATGCTACTAGTAATATTACTATCCAAAGTGGTAGAAGCTTGTAGTACTGCTCATCTCCCAACCCACGTAAGACGCAACAGTTGTGGAAACCAAAATGCACATGCAGAGGGATGTCTGGTGCCAGAGGCGGCTCTAGAGTTTGCGAGGCCTTAGGCAATATGTTGACAAGTATGGAAGACATGTTATCTACACAGTAGATAGACCTATGCAGGTCCTGCCTGCTTCTAGCACTTTGTGATCTCCAGTTGTTACATAACTGCGGTGCAGCGTAGAAATCATTGTTTATGGCTCCCGGCACTGAAGACATTGAATCAAACAGGTGTGCAGGGGGTGTCAATGTCCAAGGGACTGGACCTAATATGTTTGCAAGTATGGGAGACTTGTGTTGTCTACACTGTAGTTAAACCTATGCAGGTACTGACTGTTTCTAGCGCTTTGTGATCTTCAGTTGTTACATAACTGCGGTGCAGCATTGAAATCATTGTTTATGGCTCCTGGCACTGAAGACATTGAATCAAACAGGTATGCAGGGGGTGTCAATGTCCAAGGGACTGGACCTAATATGTTTGCAAGTATGGGAGACTTGTGTTGTCTACACTGTAGTTAAACCTATGCAGGTACTGACTGTTTCTAGCGCTTTGTGATCTTCAGTTGTTACATAACTGCCGTGCAACATTAAAATTATTGTTTATGGCTCCTGGCACTGAAGACATTACATCAAACAGGTATGCAGGGTTGATGAACATTGTTCCCATTCCTTGTTGGCAAATGCCATGCATGCTGAATGTAAATTGTACAAGGTTTGGGTCTCAGCTTTCAAATACAGGGAAAGTGCTGCACTACGCTTTAATAAAAAAAAATTTGAATGACAAATTCCAAGGTCTGCCAGTGACTTGATAATCCGGATTGTTTTTGCATTGATCAGTGATCAGCTATAGCACAATCCTCTACATATCAAGCACTTGTACCTGGACAAATGGCTATGACATACTGCACATGTGTGCACATGGCAAATGCAATTCATCTGGTGAACCATGGTGCTATCAGTTCTACGTATGCTATCTGGTGTTCACATCTGGTAGGACATCTGCTACTTACCAATGTCACATTGCACCAGTCTATGACAAAGTCATTTGGCAAAAGTTCTTGACACAGCACCGGCTTCTGCCCTTGTTGGCACTGCTGTCGAGTCTGAAGATTCTGGGTGTCATACATGCACTCTGAGAAAGGGATAACAGATCCCACCTTTATGAAGACCCTGCAACGAAAAGAAAGAAGACTTCTGAGAGCTGTAGATATTTTTTCTTGTTTCCAGACCTCCGCTGCAAGGATGTATGACTCCAAATAGTAATATTTTACTGTAATACTTAAAGAAAGCTAGTCGGAAGACCAGCAAAACGTCTTCAAGAAAAATACAGCCACTCCAGCTGCCTTGATTTTTTTTTTTTTACAGATATACCATGACCTGGATGAATGAGAACCTTGTAAAGTGGTGGGCTGGGGTTCTTGTTAGGTAATATAT